TAGCATCCCCGCATAAATTGTACCTAAATTTCCTACTTGACAGATGCAACTGTCTTTGGGGCTAAAAAGGGCAACAGCAAGCTACACAAATTGGTCGGAAGCTCACTCCGACCCGGGCTGGCTTCAAACTCATGACCTTTCGGTCAGTAGTGATCTTAATGCAGCTGACTCCCAGCCAGTTGTGCCACAGTCCCGGTGCTACTGCTCTGTCTTTCCCGAAGAAGACTCTTTGGCATATAAAGGGCTAAAGACCTTGTAAAACTACATGGCCCAGGACTCCATCGCACCACACCATGGCAGCTAACGTGGAGTCAAACTGCATTAGTTCTCCACTGTAGATGAAGTCCCCTTTGTCTGGTTAGTATTATTATAATACTACTACTAATAAAATGATATTATTATACGTTTTATATTACATGTAACATTACTAAGAATATTACAATATAATGGTATAGTACAATATAACAATATATAATACTGATATTGTACTATGCTAATAATATAATATATTGTATGTATATATATCTTGTAAGCTGCTCTGAGTCCCCTTCAGGGTGAGAAGGGCGGCATATAAATGTCGCAAATAAATAAATAAATGGGGTATCTATAAGTGGAAAAACTTAGCACAGACGGAGGGAACATCTACTGTGCACGTATGCCAGGCTATAATATGCTATACACAGGAGTATTTCTTTTTCTTACTGACTCGTTTGCTTTTTAGGGTCTCATAAATTATCTTCTTAATGCTAAAGAATTGAAGAGGGGGGTTCAGTAGCAGAAACAGGAGCCCCCAGTGGCGCAGTGGGTTAAACCCCTGTGCCAGCAGGACTGAAGACTGACAGGTCGCAGGTTCGAATCTGGGGAGAGGCGGATGAGCTCCCTCTATCAGCTCCAGCTCCTCATGCGGGGACATGAGAGAAGCCTCCCACAAGGATGATAAAACATCAAATCATCCGGGCGCCCCTGGGCAACGTCCTTGCAGACGGCCAATTCTCTCACATCAGAAGCGACCTGCAGTTTCTCAGGTCCCTCCTGACACGAAAAAAAAAAAAGTAGCAGAAACAAGTCTCTCCCTATTAAATATTTGGAAGGCAAAAAGGGGAAACTCATCTTCAGGCCCTGGAGGGAGGGAGGTGACTAAGCCTCATGGCTACAAACCTGGGATTTGTTTCCAGTGCTAGACGTATTCATAGCCTGGCTGCTTGGTATTTTCCCACTCATCTGGGTCGATCCCAGTGATATGTCCTGAGTTCTGTTTGCTGTAGTTTGGCGGCAGCCCAGCTGTTTAGACGTTTTGCAGGGTGTTCCATCAGACTCCTGTCAGGGAAACAGGTATCATCAGTAAGAACATGGATGGTAAGTTCCTTCTAAACAACGAGTGAAAGCTCACCCACAAAACTTATATGATGTATCAGAGCTTGAAAGAGTTATCTTTCTGGATTACAGCTCCCAGAACACCTCAGTAAGTGGATAAATGGCCTCACTGGATGAGGGATGTTGCAAATTATTATTATTATTATTATTATTATTATTATTACTCACTTTAACTCTCCCGAAGGGAATGTAAAGTGGCTCAAAGAAGAACACCTTCCGAACTCTGGCCCATGCATCCTCCATTCTTTGCAAGATTCACACATATCACATTTCATTATATAATAGTCACCATGGCCGTAATAGTGACACCCTCATTTTTGGGGTTGCAAAATTGGTATTGTTGTGTTCCTCACATAATGGTCACAGAGCCATGTCAGAAATATTAAAAATTAAACTAGGTATTTTAAATTACAATAATGTGAGTTAAGCACTGAAAGAGTCAAATGGATGCAATGACTCACCAAAAGCTGCAGTTCAATATAAGTAGGTGTGTGTGTAGCTTAGAAGTCCTCAGTCTGTGAGAGGTCTCTGTGGGAAAAGGGCCTCAATGTGTTAGCTAGGCCTCAGTATGAAAGGCCTCAGTGTTAGTTCCTCTTAGTGTGAGAGAGGTATCAGTCTGAGAGAGTCCTCAGTGGGAGAAATTCTTCACTGTGAGGTAGACCTCAGTGTGAGTCGGCCTAGTGTGTGAGAAGCTTCAGTGAGAAAAGCTCCAAGTTGAAGGCCATATCTGTTTTGACAGGCCTTTGATCTTTGATATTGCTGTTTTTAAATTGTTTTTAATTGTGTTAGATTTTAGCCTGTTCTTGTAAGCCGCTCCGA